GTCCTCTTTCCTCTTCGAAATGTCTAACTTCTATGATAGCCTTGTGTTTGAGTTTCAGCCATGGTGGTGGGCTGGTTTTGCGGTGGTTCTGGCCTTGTATTATGCACGGCTCATGACCAAGAAATCACCAAGAAGGCCGCCGTTGCCACCAGGTCCGCCAGGCCTGCCTTTGCTAGGAAACCTTCCCTTTCTTCCACCTGATTTAAATCACTACTTTACCAAATTGTCTCAAACTTATGGTCCCATCATGAAGCTCCAACTGGGCAGTAAGATCTGTATTGTTATAACCTCCCCTTCGCTCGCCAAAATAATCCTAAAAGACAACGATAAAATCTTTGCTAACCACGAAGTTTTTGCAGCGGCGAGAACCCTAGTTTATGGTGGGATTGACATTACTTTCAGCCCTAATGGTCCGCAATGGAAGAAGATGCGAAAGATTTTTGTTCATCAACTGATGAGCAACGCGAGCCTTGATGCCTGCTATGCACTTCGCCGACATGAAGTACGAGAAATGGTGAAGGACCTGCATGGCAAAGCCGGTTCCCCCATTAAGATCGGCGAGCAAATGTTTATTACGACCCTGAACGTTACAATGAATATGGTATGGGGTGGTCAATTGCATTTGGAGGAAAGGAACAGCATAGGGCCTGAGTTTAGACGGTTAGTAATGGAGGTTTTTGAATTGTTGTCAAGAGCCAATATCTCTGATCTTTTCCCTGTCCTGGCTCCATTCGATCTTCAAGGAATCGAGTTGAAAATGAAGAAGTTGTTTCTGTGGTTTGATCAGATGTTTGAATCAGTCATAGCAGGCCGAATGAATGAAAACGATGAGGTTAAAAACAAGGATTTGCTGCAGTTCTTGTTAGGATTGAAGCATCAAGGCGACGAAGGGAGTACTCCATGTTTATCCACAGATGAAATTAAAGCATTGTTTATGGTAAATCTTACGAAAACCGGTTATCTCTTGCAAATTTTGTTTTCCATACATATATGTCTTCTTCTTTTTTTTTTTTTCCCCTAATATAAGAGGGTTATTATTTGTTTAAATTCATGACTTTGGCTTTAAATTAATGTTTTTAAATTAGTTACAAAGCTCTTTTACTATTTTTTTTATGTTTGATTTGAGTTTATTCTATTCCACGAGCTGTAGGATACTTTATTTGGCGCTTTGGAAAATTCATCGACCATGGTGGAGTGGGCCATGACAGAATTACTACGACATCCAGCAAAAATGAGAAGAGCAAGGGAAGAAATTGAGGAAGTGATCGGAAACCAGAACATTGTGGAGGAATCCCATTTGCCCAAACTGCTATATTTGGATGCAGTCATAAAAGAGGCACTTCGACTTTATCCAGTGGCTCCCTTCCTAGTGCCCCGCAACCCCAGCAAGGATTGCTGTGTGGCCGGATACACGATCCCTCAGGGCTCCAGAATCATGATTAATTTATGGACAATTCAAAGGGACCCCGAGGTTTGGG